CGAGTAGATCATTAGATGATGTTGTGCGGGGCCTCACTCCGCGCCAGGGGGATGATCGCTCCATGTTGTGTTAAAATGGTCAAGCACCCTCGAGGCAGTTATACAGTGCTTACAACTGACTCTGGAAGTGAAGCACCAGAAAATAAATTGAGTCATACGCAGCTGTCATCCGTACGCAAGGAAGTAAGCACAAGATGCCGAACACCCTTAGCAGGATGCAGCGCACCCTTCATGCGACTCGCCGAATGTCTCACGGCGCTTCGCGCTTGGTGATGTGAGAGCCTGGTCCGGTGAGAACCAACCGGCATGCATGCTGAAAAATGTTAAGCAAGTTTAGTGGATCGAGCAGAAACTGGAACACGTTTCTGGATGTATCGATGAACATTGTTACGGGATAGTTGTTGCCCAATAAGCTTCAGCCAATAAGAATCCCGGTCGCAACTGAAGTGGTAGGTGGGTATTGCAGCAAATCTCGGAGTACACAGGCCCCCGGCCCCCAAGATGACCCCCCCTTCCACCTTCCACCCCCATGCGGGCACCCCCGCCCCCCCGTATTTTCACAAAACTATTCCCCCCGGCGTCCTCCACCGCTCGCTTGTGTCACACACGCGACAACCACGCTTGAGACTGAAAATGTTGTGATTGGTCAGCCGGTCACCGCGGTCGAAGATCTTCAACTCTTCAAACACGAAGACACACTCTTTCTGTTTTTTTTACCGGAGAGAAGCTATGCCCCCCCTATGACGCCCCCCTCGCGTGGTCGCAGATAATGCTAGCCTTCAGATGCATTTTGTGCTTTCAGCCGCACTGAGACTGACGTGTTTTTATTGGTCAGCCAGTTAGCACGGTCGATGCTTACGAAAATCACGCACAAACACACACATTGCGCCGCGCTCGTTCTCGTCGCTTGGCTCGGTTAGTCCTGTATTGAGTCCTGCATCCAATCAGGCACCCCTGAGCCGACCCCCCATTCCTTTTGCCCCAATGTGCCCCATCCTGGCCCTCCCTTTCTGACTCGTGTTTCTCCTGTCCCAACCTTGATCTCCCATCGTGTGCTGTCCCGTCCCCGCTGTCGTGCCCCCCTCTCCCTCCCGGGGGACCGTTCCGCCCCGTTTTTACGATGGTGTTTTTTTTTTGGTGGTAGACTGGATGGACAAGCACCCTGGTGGTTCGGAGGTTGTGCATCTTATGGCAGGGAGAGACGCCACCGACGCCTTTGCCTCCTACCACCCCTTCACTAACAAGCCTCAAAAGGTCTGTGTTGTTGTTGTTGTTGTTGTTGTTGTTGTTGTTGTTGTTGTTGCTGCTGCTGCTGCTGTTGCTGCACGTTTCGGCGTTGGTGGTTAATCGCGGTGTGTGTTGCTGCAAGCGGCCTCTCGCCATGACCGCCTCGTGATATCGAACGACCAAGAAGAGGCAAGATCACACGAGACGTGAAACAACAGCGCGAACCGCGTCGCCAGTGTTGTTCTTGATACGCAAGGCAGCAAGCTCTGGTCTGCGCGTCAAGGAAATACACAGTAAGAACTATTGTATGTATGTGTTTGGTGCTGGTAACCCTAGCCCTCTCCCAACCCAAACACACGACCCCTTACTAAAACCAACATCAACACCCTCGCCAAGGCTGGAAGCTAAGCAGATTTTATGTTGGCGTCCACTCTACCTCGCCATCATCGCACCTTAAGCGCGCAGAAAGAAGCAACAGGCCACACGAGACGTGAGACTACAGCACCCCCTTCCTCTCCATTTAGCATACAACGCTTTTTCAAACGCTTCATTTATCGTTTTACATCCTCGACAAGGCGGTTCGTAGTCGCCGCGGCCTTCTTCTGAAAACACCTAGGATTAAGTACAGATTTGGAGAGAAATGAGGCCTTTCGGTTGGCCCACGTCACCCTGCAATTCTACCCCTCATCAGCCGTCACCACCAGAAAGACTGCCCGTGCTTCACGAGGCTGCTATGCTGCTGCTCCTACTCTTCACCTCGTGTTTCGTCAATTTCTGTTGTCCGGACGCATCGTCTGTCGCGTCGCGTCTTTCGCCCTTCCCGACTCTCTTGACTAACTTGGGCCGGCTAGATGCTGCCCAAGTTTGAGATAGGAACTCTGGTGTCGAGGGAGTTCACACCGTACAAACGCGACGAGTCCGGCTTCTACCGGGAGATGTGCACGCGAGTCGGGCAGGTGAGGGAAAGGAAATTTTGTGCGTTTTTTTTTCAACTACATGTATAAGCATCGACCGTGCAAACGGGCTGACTAATGAAAATACGTCAGTCTCAGTGCGCTTGAAAACACAATAAAAATGCTTTTTGTTTGTAAAAGATATGATGTGGGATCCCTTGAGGGGGGCGTCCTTTGTATGTGTGTGTTCGTGTTGGTTTTTTGTTGTGTTTTGTTGGTTTCGGACGAGACAAGGAGAGTGGAGTCTTGGTACTGGGACGACAAACATTCCGTGGAGCGGGACAGCGATCAACATTAATGAATCCCTCCCTGAAGGACATGGTTATGGTTGTGTGCAGTTGGTTTCGTTACGTTGGTGAGAATCCTGCAGCCTCGACGATGTGCTGGGTCGATGAGACGTGTTGCTTTGCCGCCTGTCTCGTTTCTCTCTTTCCAGCTCTGGTGAGATATTTCGTCTCTCAACCCCTCTCCCTGCTGCTTTTCCTGTTCACGAGGCAACGACCACAACCCCGCACTGTACCTCCCCTCCCTGGTTATCTACGCACGAACTTTCTTCTCTCTCTCTCTCTCTCTCTCTCTCTCTCTCTCTCTCTCTCTGTTGTCTGCCTCTCTCGCTGTCTCTTCCACGCGGCAGTATTTCGAGGACAACAAGCTCAACCCCAAGGGCGTCTGGCCCGGCGTGTGGAGGATGACGCTTGTGTTCGCTTGCGCGATCGCCGCCTTCCTGGCTACGAACGGATTCTGGCCCTCCGTGCCGCTCTCTGTACGATTTCTCACCGCCGCACTCTTCGGCGTGCTGCAGGTGTGCGTGTGCGTGGTTGTCCAATGTCTTTGTTCTTGATGTCGACCCCGCTAACCGGGTGATCAATGAATAGACGCCACAGTGTCATTGCTGGGACGTGCGTGTTTTTGTCTTTTTTTGGCATCGAGCGTGTTAGCTGGCGAAGACCCAAAAAGTTACGTCAGTCTCATGGCGTTACGTGTGTGTCTTCTTTCTTGGCATCGACCGCGGTGACGGGTTATCAACGAAGATACGTCAGTCTCAGTGCGGCCAGGCATGCATGCCTTTGTTCTTAGCATGGATCGCGGCAACCGGATAGCGTCAGTCTCGTCGACGCTATGTGTGTGTCTTCGTTTTGTAGAGCTGGGACCCGGTAACCGGCTGACCAATGAAAAGACGTCAGCCTCAGTGCGGGCAATATCTCGTGAAACTCTTCCGTATGTTCATGTGTGTTGGGTGTGGATGTCCGGATGACATCGACCGCGCTACCTGGCTGAGCAATGAACGGAAGCCTGTCTCAGTGCCGTGAGAAGCAGCAACAAGCGCTTCAAAACGCCATGATCTGGGGCCCTGTGAGGGTTCATGGCATTGGCAAGGCAGTTCTCCAGATTGAAGACAGAAACGGCAATTTTTGTTGTTGAATGTTTTTTTTTTTTTTCCCGGCGTTTTCGTTTATTTATTTTTTTCGGCAGGCGCTGCCGCTGCTGCACGTGATGCACGACAGCTCGCACACGGCCTTCGGCCGAACGCAGAACTGGCACTCGTTCGGCGGACGCCTTTTCATGGACTTCTTCGCCGGAGCCAACCTCACCTCATGGCACTACCAGGTGCGTAAACAGGCGGACGGCTCCCTGAGCAGTCTCCCCACCGCTAGCGACCTGAAAAAATTAGTGTGTGACGTTTCATACGTCTTACTTGAAGTTTGTGGCATATATGTCAGGACAATCTACCGCCCATCGCCTTTGAAAGGAAGAGTGAAAGGCGACTGATCGGAGACTATTAATATTAGGCGTGCTTGGATGTTGATGGTCACAAGGGGAATCGGGGTGAACGTGTGAGAGCTTTGCCGAACTAGGCGCAGTCGAGCGCGATTGAGAGATGGAACGCGCCTTCCGTGCGCGTCTCTGCGCTTCTTTTCGACGAGTATATATACCGGCGTGCGAGCTCGTAGCGCTACAGTCAGCAAGCGGTCACAAAACAAGTCGAGCTCTACCACTCTGTATATCATTTCGTCCAATTTTGTCATCGTTGCCGTGCACGTTTTTTTTTTTTTTTTGCCGTGTCGGTCGCTAATTCAGCACGTGGTAGGACACCACATCTACACGAACGTTTTCGGGGCGGACCCTGACCTTCCGGAGACTGCGGAGGGGGACCCCCGTCGGCTGGTTCACCGACAGAAGAACGCCTCCATGTACAAGTACCAGCACCTGTACCTTCCCCCTCTCTACGGCATCTTGGGCCTCAAGGTAAGGCCGTTGTCGACGGTGGTGGTGGTGTTGATGTTTATGTTGTTGTGACGGTGCTGTTTTTTGTCATTGCTGTTGCTGCCGTTGTTGTTGTGGTCGCTGTGACGATGATGGTGTTGGTGTTGATGTTGCTGTTGATGTTGCTGTTGCTGTTGCTGTTGTGTTTGTGTTGTTGGTGCTTTCGATATTGTGACTGGTGTTGGTCTTGGTGTAGCGGTGCTTTTGTGAATTCGTTCTTGCAAAATGAGCCATGCCCTACCAGAGATGATCCTCAAAGTGTTGCTTGCGCTGTCTCAAGACATCCCTCCCATCTCTGACTACACAACTGTCTTTTTCGGCTAACACTGCCATCATGTCTGTGCTCTTTGCCGTTCTCCAGTTCCGCATCCAGGACCTCACGGGAACTTTCTTCGGAAAGACGAACGGACCGGTGCGGGTGAACCCCATCTCCCTGTACCGGTGGGCCGAGATGTAAGTATGCGTTTTTGACGACGATGTCGTGCCTCGACTGCAGAAAACAAAGTCTTTGGCGTCAGAGCTGTTGAGGATTATTTACCTCCACTCCACTCATGTGGATAAGTTCGGGTTAATTTGTTCATCACCACAGCCCCGAAGGTCAATTTTCATGATGGGATTTTTTTTTTTTTTTGTGTGGACATTTTCAGCAGCTACCCTGCTGTACCCGAACAACAAGACGCTGCCTTGTGTTCTGGTGTATTTTCCCCACTCCACCCCAATCCCGCTTGACGTGTGGCTCCTATGGGGACTTCAAATCCATCTTCAGGTGGACTTCTAAGGTCTTCTGGGCCCTTTGGCGAATCTGCCTCCCTCTCGCGTTTTTCGAGGGAGTCAACACGCCTCTCATGTTCACTGCCCTTTTCCTCGTGTCGGAGTGGATGACCGGCTACTACCTGGCATTCAACTTCCAGGTGTGTGTATATTTTTTGTTTTTCGTTTCTATGTACTACGAGGATTGTTCTTTGTATCTATTATAAATGCTGTTCTTTATTTTTAGAAGTCATGTTTTATGCGTCGACCGCGCTAGCCGGCTGACCAGTGCGGACGAACAAGAGCATGTTTCTCAAGGCCATGATCTGGGACCCCGCGAAGGAGCGTCATGGGGGAGGCCATGTGTACGTGTTTTGTGATGTTATCGATATCGTTACCTCTTACCAATACCGAAAAAATACGCCAGTCTTGTAGCGGGATGCGACGAGGCATTTTTTTTTTTTTGGTTTCCCACCTTGTTGCGTGTTTTTGCCCGTCCCATTTTGGTGATTCTGGACGCATGGATAACCGTACACACATCCCTCTGCATGTTCCGGGCGTAAGAGCCGTTTTTAGAGACTACGGTGTTCGTGTTTAACATTTGCTTTTATGTTCCATCTGCGTGCTTTGTTTCTCCCGCGTTTGGCTGCTGATCCCTCATGGGCGCCGTTTCCCTCGTGTGTCCCGCGTACCCGTAGGGTGCAATGTGCGACGAAACGGTTCTACGTCAGACGCCTGCTCACTTCGAAAACCCTTGATCTACACCTATCGGCTCTGTCGCTTCTTCCCTCTCTCCATCTCCCTCTCTGCCCCCCCCCCCCTCCCTCTCTCCCATTCTGCCGTCGGGGGTGTTGATGTCCTTTCGCATGCTTGTGTCCGCGCTTATGTTGGGATGCTGGTATTTCGGCAGGTGTCGCACGTGTCTACGGAGTGCGACTACCCATTGGGTGCTGAGGCTAAGGACATGATCGAGGACGAGTGGGCCGTGTCCCAGGTGAGGAGGTGTTGTTTGTATGGCGTTGTCCTGCATTTTTTTTTTGCAGTCGGTCCTGTGTGTGTACTGGAGGCAGTCGAAGAGGATCCGCACGAATAGTCTGTTTATCAGTGTCGACAGTGGCTGGGTTGTCACGTCCATTAGGGATAACGGCATTGCATTGAACGAGTCAAGATAGAGTTTCTCTTGGGAGAAATTTCGGGGTCATGTAAACAGCAGTGGCTTTTCACGAACATTTCAATATGCGTAGAACAAAAGACATGAAAGCAGTTTTTATAGAAGGCCGGATTTAAGATAGTTAGCAGGTGCTACCCGTAGCCGCTACAGTACCGCTGTACCAGAATGCAAGAAGGACCACCCGCCGCCTCCATTTCCTGACATGCCTTTGGCATGAGCGTTGAACATGTTGTCGCTCCAGACTCCTGTCCCCTCTCTCGTGGGACTAGCGCGCTGTCCTCTCGAAGACGCGTGGTTATTTGTTCAACAGCTGTAATGGCATGCGAACCATGAGCACGCGCGCCCCACACCCACCGATCCCGATTATTTGGTCAGGTCAAATCTTGCGTGGACTACGCCCACGGCAGCAAGCTCGTCACCTTCCTGTCCGGCGCCCTTAACTACCAGGTCACCCACCACCTCTTCCCGGGAGTCAGCCAGGTAAGGTGTACTGGTATACTGGCGACATTGTGTGGAGCCCCCCCCCCCCCCCCCCCCCC